GGAGGGGAATTTATCCTGAGTTGCACTCCCGAATAGATTGCAACTTTGCTAAATAATTTGCATTTTATGTATATTTTAACACTATTGATATGTAGATGACTTTAATTAGTTAATTAATTAAACAAAAATCAATATTTACGCTTTCAATGAAAATTAATTATAAAAAAATATATTTATTATATCTTTAGGCATGTGATAGAAAAACCCTAATAATAATAATAATAATAATAATAATAATATTGTAATGTACTATGCAAATTTAAAAGAAGAGACAATACTTAATTCATAGCGAAAATAAATGTACCTTACTTAAATGATTAGTGCTTTCTTCAAATGACGAAAGAAAGAATGTGCTAGTCGAAAGGCCTCTTCACTGCTTGCACGCGCCAATATACCTTCTAGCCACTTCAAAAATTTTTATCACGCGTAAAGTGATTCAGTCGTTTTTTACATTATGTATAAGTACAATTAATTTAAATATTAAAATATAATATAAATATAATTAATTCAGTCAATTTATATATAATGTGTTTTATATCATAACCGCATCTTAACATTTATTTATTTTTAATTTCATATAAAAAATAATAATATTTAATAAGTGTATTGTATAATATGTTAAATTAAATGATACCAATCAATATCCAAAAATGAATTCATTAATTTTTCTTTAATTTATATCATGTACACTATAACAAATTATAACAAAATTACTTTATTAATTTTGATACAATTGAATTTCTAGTGAAACAAAAACCGTTGACTCACCTAGAGATATCCTATACACTATAACAAATTATAGATTGAGAAAAATGTTTATCAACTATACTTGCAAAAAATTTGCAAAAAATATATTTAAAAACTATATCGTTTTAATAAATTCATTTTGAAAAAGACTAAACATTTCTATTTTTTAAGTAAGAACAAGACTATTTTAGTTTTCTTTTCGTAATATTTTATTGAAACGATGTAATTTTTAATATTTTTTACCTATTTTTTTTGCAAATTCACTTAATAAACACTAATTTCTTGAATTATATCTCTTTTATTATATATAACAAACTATAGTTAATAGTTTAGAATCTTTAGGCTTTTTTTATTGTCTAAAAACATCTTCAAACCTTATGCACCAATGAAGTAATCATTTAAGTAACATTATTAATCTTGCCATGCACGCATGATGTAATACCTTGTTATTTTTATTTTTAAAACCACATTAAATTTTTAAAAAAATTAATAATAATAATAATAATTTATATTGTCATCTACTGTGCAAATTTAAA